GGTGGAGTCACCATCCCTGGAGGTGTTCAAGAAACGTGTAGATGTGGTGCTTAGGGACATGGGTTAGTGAGTTAGGTGGTGTGGGTTGACGGTTGGACTTGATGATCCTTGAGGTCTTTTCCAACCTTAATGATTCTATGATGATATCTATGAAATATCTCTATAACCAGGACAAAACTAATTCATGTTGGAGGCTGAGATTCCTCAGAGATTAATGCAAGTAGGACAAACTAAAACTGGTTTACTTTTGAAGGTTAATTCCAATTGACCTAGGATCTGAATTGGTAGCAAAATCCCCAAAGTTCATTCCACCTCACTCTGGGCCACTGCACTATTTACCCAGGCTCCCTATACAGACAGGGAGCAATGCAGGCTGCAGGGGAGCTGGGTCATCTTTATGAGATGCCAGAAACCAGTTTCTTTAAAGCAGTACGTGGCACTGTGATAACTGCCTTGCTGAGTTGGCCTGCTCCTCAGTGTGTGTAAGTGGGGTGAAAGGGTGCACATAGGTATGACCTCAGGTCATATGCTAAGACAAGTGATATGAGGCAAGACACATTTACTGAAGCTGTACAGAACCATGAATATATCCCAATTTTCTTAGCAGCTGCTTGCTGCTTTAGGAGCTGCTAAACTAGCTGGAGCTAAAAGTTTCAAGATGATCATGGCCATCTGATTATGTGTATGCACTGTGTGATTAGCCAACCACATCAAGTCACTTCTGTAAAATGCTATGGTTATGGGAATAGCACAAAAATCTTTATTGACTAGGGTTTCTACAGATTACTAAAATCTTTAAGGAGCATGTTAAGTATGAAAAGAGCATAAGAGGGGATAGTATAAAGAGAAGGAGGTGGCTCAACAAAGGGGACATTGGTAAGTGCCTGACCCTTTGTGAGCCTCCTGCTACTAACTACTGTTCTCTTCTTAGAAGCAACTCTTTCTCTCATGCCAGCTGTGTCTCTTTCTGCTTGCTCTTCTATGTCTATGGAAGGAAGACTGAAAGAAGTGGGCTTGCTGGAGGGACAACATGCTGTCCATACATTGTCTTCAGGGAAAGACAGGATCAGGAACTGTTAGGATGAAAATACCTATGGCAACTCTTTTCAAAGATGCTCCTCCCTCATCCAAGTGTAGCTCTTGCTTCTCTGTCTTCCAAGCTGGCTTCTTGTAAGTGACTTTTCTTTAGTAAAATGTGCTACGATATTCTACTGCCCAATCCTCATTAATCTTACACACTGCCCTAGTACAACAGAAACAGAGTTAAGCTGTTGTTGAGATAACTGGCTTCCATTAGCAACCATGTGATTGGCAGGACGATAAAGTCTTTTCCCTTGCAGGTCAGCTGCTTTTTAAGAAGAGGGCAACCCTGCTGATCCATCTTTTAGCTACAGTCTCTCACTGAGTCCCAAATCTCCTGCCTTTTAGCTTTGATACGGCTCAAGCTTTCCCCCTTGTATCAGCCCCTACCTGTCATCAGCTCCTCTGTACCAAACAGCCAATATCAGGAGTTTGACCTCAGGGCACAGTCCGGGTGGGCAGGTAAAACCTGACCACTGGACCTACTTCCTTATCTTTCATATCCTGCAATTCATGAAGAAGTATCAAATTCAAACTAAAAACCAGAAGCATGACCTTTTATAAGAACTTTCTGAAACAGGCTCTGTTGCCTTTCTAAGTATTCTTGAAAAGAACTGTCATCCACCCTATTAAGATAGAAATGGATCACAAATAAGGAAAAGAGGGAAAACATTGCAAATCCTTACTAAATGGTAAATCTTTTTAATGTATGCTTGCAACATCTTTTCACAAGACAAATAAAAATATAGTAAAAACCAAAATAAATTACTAGAGTTATTTTACGTCTACAACCTCCAATTGCAACCCAACAGAGTTGCCCAAACTTTTGCTGTTTATAAAGTAGCTGAAATCAGTTAGATGCCCATGGCATAGAGAGCATCCTCTATAAAGCATTACTTGTATCAAGAGAATTCCAAATGTAAATTGCTAACATAAACTGAGAGCTATCATAAGCAATGTCATCCCTATTTATGTGACATGCTCAACAGTTGGTGCTTAAAACATACAAATATATTATTTATTTCCTGTAGCAAGTATGTACACACCCTGCCCTCCTGTACAGCTGGAAAACATGTTTTCCCTTGAAACAAACATAGGCTCTCCAAGGATTTAAATCACTTAGATAGATGACAGAAATGGTGCCAAAATATCTCAAAATTCTTTGACTTCAACTAAACTGACTTAGTACAAATTGGAAGATGTTTAGACACTTCTAACATTGATAATAAGAGGAGAAGAAAAAAAGAATCCAAAAGAAGAAGACAGGACTTGTGGTATTTGAAGTCTGACAGAGTGCATCTTTACATACTGAATTCTGGAACTCCTAATGTACAAATATCACATGAATTAATCTTATGGCCTATATCCTCCTCACATAGTCCATGCTTATCCCATTGTAGATATTGTTCATTGTTATATTACTATGAGAATGTAACAGACAACTCTACCTTTTAACTCTCTAATTTAAAAAGACAATTTAATTAAGTTCTTTCTATTAGAAGAAACTGGAATACTTTTTCCTCAGGAATTTTCCCTTCTGAAATTATCTTTTCATTATCTTGCTGTGAAAAACCTACTAAACTATTAAAAGCAAAAATATTCTTACTATATAGATAATTGGTATGGAATTCTTTCTACATTTCTTTTCTGATGACTTTGACAGGCTCATAATGATGCTGAAAAATATCACCACATCTTCAGAAAGCTAAAAGACTCTCCACGTGCAGGTAATGATTCATTTCACTATGTAAATTACGCTTATAATCACAGTTTTGTGAAATAATAAATCCTTTCTAAAAGCTTACTTCAAGTTTGAAAAATTTTTGAAAATGAATTGCTATGGGTGGATATAGTGTCAGAATTTAGAGACAGCAGCAACAGAAACAACTACGTGAAATTAAGATTTTAGTCTGGAAAAAGCTTCCTTTTGGCAAGAACTGTGGAAAAGTGCTTCCAATATTAAGGCATTTAAAATTAAAATTGATATAGAATAAAGATCAGCCAGTTGGAATAAAGCTGCTTTCTAACAGTTTAAAAGAATTCTATGTAACTAATAAAGGAAAGGAAATGCTAAATAATACCATGCCTGATTCTGTTCTCCAGGGAGTAGTTTTGTAGACAGGAGCAACTGCTCAGAATGGAGTCAGGCCAGCACACACCAGGGTAACATGTACACTCTTGCAAAAAGGCATCACAGGATCTTTACAAAATTGTCTGGACCAAAACTCAATCTTATATTCATGTAACAGTACCACTAGTAGCACAGTGCCCCCTAACAACATATTGGAGAAACAGTTTCATGCTAAATTACAGGGAACAGGGCCACTAGTAACACTTCAAATAACCTCTTTTCAAAACTAATTACATGGGAATGCAAAAACATGAAAGGTTCTTGAATTTAATAACTTCAGCATTGGTCAAAAGGGGAAATTAGTAGGATAAAAAACAACAACTAGTGTCTTACTTGTCTGAGGTCGATGAAAGCTAACTGCAGGGTGTCTCCTTGGAATCCTGGCACAGGCTCAGAACTAGCAAACACTGCAAAGACAGGTTAAAAATATTACAGATGTACATTTTTTTTAAAACTCTAACAGAAAAGCAAGCTCTATGCAATATACATACTAGCTAACATTAAAACAAAACTAGTTTGATAGACATAGATTAAACTACTAACTCACTGTGACTAAAAACAAACCAACAAACAGCTTTCCCACCATTTTTCCAATAATCCCAAAGAATAATACCTTTAGGAGTATTATTAGGAATTTTGCTTAAAATTGTAACCCAGTAGTAATGCTACAACCACAGAAGCCAACATCTTTTTTTGGCCTGAGGTGAATGATTACTGAGGAATTTCAAAATAATACCAATTCCACGGCTGTCAACATATTTTGAGACATCTGCTTTTGTTACAGCATCCGCACAATAAAAACTCCACCTCTAGCCAAACGGCAATAAAAGACAAATACTAAGGTAGGCGTTAGTTTAATGTGTAGATGACAGGTGGAAAGCTCTAGGTGCCACAGTCAGAGCACAACTGAAAATCCTTGTTCACACAAGCTTATCAATAATGAACTTCTGCTCTTTTTGAACCCAAAAACAGGCTGTCAAAATCGGAAGGCAAAAACTATATTCAAAATATAAAAAATTGTAACACTTACAGTAATGAAAAAAAGTCCTGTTTAGGAAATGATCAATAAGTGCCAACTTAAAAATAAATATACTTTTTGCTATTCTTTTCCCAGTCACATGTAAATAAGACGTTTGCAGAAACACCCACTGCCCCACATCTCCACTTAATTAGACATCTTACCTCAAAAGAGCATAAGAGAATTTTTCCTAAGCTCTTCATTTAAAGCTCTTAACATAACAAAATAGATATTACTGTAATAGTTTTTGAGAGGTATCATGTGAGACAATGAAAGGTAACATTTTCTTCCAAGTTTGAGAAACAGGTTAACCAATGATAGAGAAAACAGAACATATGTATCAAAAAAATTTCCAGATCCAGTGCTCAACTCTACTGTGCCACATGGACTCCTACTAACATTTAAAAGTAAGATGAAATCCTTAATAGACTTTTCTTTTTAATGGCTTGTTAGAAAATTTGGATCATCAAGTAAAAGTAACATGGGAAAGACATTGATGTCCAAGCTAACATGATGAAAAAATAATGGGCTCAGTCATTTACTTCTGAATGTATGGTTTCAACTTAAAGCAGACTGATGAGTTCAGACAATTCAGAAGTCTAAAAATTATTACATGGAATGCAATTGTAAATGAAAATAATAAAGATTCTTATTTAAATGGTAAGAGAAGCTACTAAGACCATCCCAGAATATCTAAGAATAGCTTAGTAATAGATGAACATAGTATCAGAGTAGCTGCTTTACCAGCAGAGGCAGAATTTATTACTTGTATTACAGGAGTGCAAAAATTTTTACAGATAGTCATGTAACAGGAGAATGAATTGAACTGGAATATAACTTGATTCTTCATCAACTAAAGGAATAAAAAAATAACAATCAAATACCCTAGGGAGAACACTGCAATGTCACAGACAAGCATTGGTAACGTGGGCAAACATTCGCCAATTACTGTATTCAAGTCTGAATTTTAAACTGTCTAGTTTTCCTAGTTTATAAGTAACACCAACTTTCTAGGGGAGTTTTCAGGGAGTTTCAATCTACCACAAAGATGCTTTTAAATAAAAAAGAAGAAGGATAAAAAACATGAGAAAAAGCATATCCTAAGCCCAGCATTTTATAGAGAGAGTTTGCTTAATAATAAACTCTTTAAAACCAAAGAGAAAACAGTGTGTACAAACAACAACCTGCAGAACAAAAGATCTCCAGGCTGATGAAAGCACCCATCTGAACACCCTAAGCTAAAGGGTTGGGTGTCTCCATGGCTGTCTTCTGCAGGTATTTCATGGCCACTGGGACCACCCTTTCTTCGGGGACAGACAGGCCTATGATGCTGGCCCTTGCAGTCAGCCAAACATAGCGCTTAGAACGGGAACACCATACTATAGCCAGGAAATCTTAGCAATGCCCCACAGCAAACACCTAAAAAAGCAATACACGGGTTGTGAGCTATGGCAGCACACTAATAAGGAAGCATGATGGTCAGAAGGGGTCTCTTCTACATCCCCTAAACAAGGAAGGAGAACCTGTACTATTCTTGAAAGGTAAGGCCCATCTGCATCTGATCCTGTGTAACTGTCCCTTCATGCGCAGTGCACTGAAACCAGCTTCCCTCTCTAGAATCTGAGCTCCTCCAGCCACTCCACAATGGTAGCACTGGGAGAAGGAAGCTCTAAGGCAAAGGAATGGCTACAGAACGGAAGAGTGAATGTAACTGAAAAGCATGCTGCAGCAAAACTTTTCAGTTAGCTATTGGCACTTTATACTTTGGGAGATACCTTCCAATAGTGGGATACTTTTACTTGCTGCAGGGCAAATATTTGCATCTCTTCTTCAGCTCATCAGGCTAACATAGTTTGTAATTTATCCTAATGCACTAAATAATGCAGTATTATTTAGTTTCTCTACATAGTACCTACTGCCATTGCAGCTACAGAACAAGAAATACACATGGTACCAAACTTAAGTATCGTATAAGCTTTGTTTTCTTTATGACAATTTTATATTATGAACGCATTTACAATACCAGGGACACTCATTATAGCACAAGCATTTATTCTTGCATTTGGGTCATTTTTGACAGGTGAGTACAGTAGCATTTGTTTGATTATTACAATTTCATGAGTTCAAAGGGCAGAAAGATAATCTACTTACGGTAATGGTCAGACAGTTCCCCCTCCACCCTCAGCTCAGGGCTTTTAAGTTTTGCTAACAATTTTACAAAGCTAATTAAATATTTTCTACAGCGTTTTATGAAGATATTATAAGAACAGGATTAACATTCTTAATCTCTTTGTCCTAAGGTTCCTTTTCCAGATAGTAATGAAACATTGTCATATACACATCTCTTAAAATATTCACTCTGTTCATTCACTCTAGGCTTAAAGAGAATTTGGAGGGGTAGGGGGCTGGTTGGTTGATTGTTTTAGTGTGCATAAGGGCATTCAGGAATTTTATAATACATGAGAAAGAAATTTAAAGATCACCATTACACTGTCACATATAGGGGCAAACAACTGGCTGCTTGGCAGCTTGAATTGGAAACTTCAAAGATTTGGGGAAAATAAGCTGAAAATACGCATTACATGAATCTGGTATTCACAAGGTTTTTGTTAACATTTTCTTTCCCTGCACTTCACTGATACTGTGTAGATCTTTTCTGCGTATATAGAACAGGATCTTTGGCACAATGTGTGTCCACAATACATACAATCTCAACATACTTCCTACAATAGCCAGTTTGTGAATTTACAGGAGGTAGGATCTAATGAAAAAAGTATGTAATAATATAAAAACAGGCTGGGAGGTAACACATACACAAGAACGGTAAATTTAAATATTGTAAAGATTACTTCAGTCCGTTTTCCTTTGAATACTTTGCTTTGATCTTTCAATTACACTTTATATACAGGATATTTTTTAATTGATGTATATATGTTTTAATGGATATCTTAAGAAAAAGGGAGTATCTGCTAAAATGGAATTTAAGACATCTTTAACTATAAATTGTACTGAATTTCTACACACTTCTAGATTTATTAACAGGTCTCTCCATTTCATTCCCTCAAAACCCCATCTTTTAGCCATCATCTGGGTGAGCCTCTCTGTTGGTCTGGGAACTCAGTACCCAATTCCTGACAAATAGTTTTGCTGCTCACTGGCAGAAACTAAAAATCAGAGTCCAGACTTTGGATCAAAAGCAAAATTAGGAGTTTTACTTCAGCCTCATAGCATTCACTCACAGGCAGGACAGCAAAGCTACAAATATATTTCTAAAGGAAGAGCAGAGAATCAGGTGACCATCTCAGCAGCCGTCAGCCACTTTGCAGCCCTGTTGGATGCCCCAGCTGTTCAAACACGCCTGGAGGGAAGCCTTGATGAGGGAGCTGCCAGCTGGGCAGACAGCAGCCCCCAGCAGCTACGAGATCTCGCTGCTTCCCCTTGCTCCTGTGCTGCCATATGTGACCAGCAGATGAAGGATGGTCTCAAGAGAGTTAAGTTAACCTGACTTCCCAGATGGAAGTGGAGGCAGGTAAAGCGAGGGGCCTCCAGGGAAGAACATAGTGCCTTTTCAAGGAAAAACAGGATTTGGGCTCCTCAGCTTCTGGCATGCCCACCTGCAGATTACCTTCATGTATGCTCAAAAGCGAGCACTTGGGCCAAGATCTCTCTTGCTCTTGGATACTGCAGCTTTCCACACAGTGGGTGAAAAAGGAGGGACTGGCACGTAGCCCTACGTAGGGCTGCTTAAGAAGGTATATTGCATATTGTTTTGCACTAATTCTCTGCTAACCCGTGCTCATTTATAGGCATCCTTTTAATCCTTGCACGGATTTATATCTGGGTGAAGAAGGATGCCCGCTCAACCATACCTCCTTCTGCCAATTAATCCTGTCTCACTATTCAGATATGTTAAAACACATAAATTATGTAAATAACATTTAACTCTTCCAGCAATTAGAATTTCCAACAAGTTCTAATTCCTTAATAAAGAGCTAATGTAAGGTATCTAGATCTGGGAGGTGTCTCTGGAAAGCTGATTTTCTATTATGTACACCTTGCTTCTGATAAAGTGAGATGCAGCAACCCACATTTGAAATTCACCTTCAAGAAATAGCAAACACCTCCACTCACCAACCCATTTCCCTCCTCAGGGCACTGAAATGCAATGTCCAAGCAAAGACCATTCTCTGGATTTTATTCAATGGGATCTAGAATATTCTATTTTTCTGAATACTGTTGTAAGAATTAAAATAATCCTAGTGGAAGATCACCACTGAGAAAGAATGGTGAAAAATACAGAGGTAAAACACTGCTCTAAGTTATAAAATATGTATAGAGAGTGGATAAATACTCCAATTAGAACAGGACAAACTGAAATGAAACTGAAAGCGTTTGGAATGTTTGGAAGTAAAACAAAAAAACTTACTAGAAACAGAGCAAGAATTTTTTTTTTTTTTTTTTAATAAATCATCAGACAAAAATACCAGATACTTCCAGATATTCTGTTCTGCTTTTTAAAGTTAGGTACTTTGCATAGAAATGCAGTGCAGGATAATGAAACCCCAGAGTTCACCAGAAGATCACCTCCTACCCTTCTACCTTTATTTCTTGGAAGTCTACTTATCATTCTACCTACTTGCTGTGATTAAGAACTTCAGCACTTACTGACTTTAACAGATTGCTGCTCATTAACAGATTGCTGGGTTGTTGATTGGATTGTTGATTGCTTTTTAATGGAAAATAAAAAATCTGACAAGTGATCACATTTGCCTGCTTTTATTTATATCTCCTCCAGCTCATATTAAAAAGAATAAAACTGCAATGTTAAAGATCAGAATAAATATCTAGAATATTGCCAAGAATTTTTAAAAAATGTATCTTCAGATATTCATAACTGTCTACATCTCACATAACTTCTTAGTTCAAAATGCATCTAAGTATACTCCACTGTGTCTATAAGTAAAATGTCGAACACACGCATACCATACAGTAGGAAACTACCCAATGGCTGTGAATTATTCGCACACTCTAAGCACTAATTGAAATGTCACTGACATATCCATTAATCTCAAAGTGTCAAAGAATAAAGCTGGGGGAGGGCGAAGAGCAAGAACATAAATCACAGGCATCACAATGAGGCCTGGAATGAGCCTGTGATGGACCTTATGAATGAAACCACAACAGCAAAGCAGTCTGAGCAAAATCTTGTGTCGATCCCTTATTCCAAAGATTGTAAGATGTAATTTTTTGCAACATACTATTCTGAGAAGCTTCCATAATTACATTTAAACTACTCAAAGGGTTTCTGTGCCAAATTTTTTCTAATGTGCTTTAAAAGCTTTGCAGAAAGGAAGAATTAAAGTTTATTCTATTTGCATCTGTACAGCCCACACTAGAAGTTACGCAATGGTAGAAAGAACATGTTTTTCAGTCTCTAAGTTACTATTTTTCTGAAACTCTCATTTTGTCCCAAGGTTTCCTATGTCCTGTCCATGGCTTCTGCTCAGTATAGCAGCTACATATAACAAAACATGTTGCCTTAAGGTTATATTTTGATCTTAAAATAATGAAATGTTGTCATGTTAGATTAAGTACAGCTCTACCAAGATCTCTTCATTGATTGACGTTTCCACTGTGCAGCAACCAAAGACGGTAGAAAGAGTGATAATAGAAATGAGGATGCTACATAACAGGGCAAAGGCTGAGAAGAAAAAGGTCTGAAAACAACCCAGAGACCAGATGACAGTTGGACTTGTCGGGACTTCTCATTACTTTGCTGTGAACATACTGTTCATACTGTGAAAGTCACCTGCAAGGGATGAATTTTATCCTTTGTACTGCTAGAAATCTCTGAGTGAAACAGTGATTTGGTTAATCTCTACAGAGTAGTGAAGTACTGCGTTGTTGACAGACGATATTTAAAATATTAGAAACAGATTAATACAGCAGTGGGCAAGCTTCCTTCGCTGTTACGCTATTTGTTCAGAAGGCAGATGACTGTGTAGCGGGGTGCACCAATTCAGCTTGTCTAGATGAATGATTATGGTGTCAGTATTATGAATGCTATGGAATTTCTGTCTTTACAACTGTGATTTTTTTACATTTAGGAAACTACACAAATGCACATACACATACCCCTACCCACCTACCTGAAAAGAACACTATTAAATTTGCAACATCAAGCATACTAAATTAAAAAAAATAAAAGCCAAACCATCATCTGCTTGGCCAACTTGTGCAATCACGAGACAAACTTTAACATCATGATCACAAATATTTTTTCAGTCGGACCTTGATAATCCCATGAATTCATTCCAAGCACCGAAAGGCCTAAAGGCTGTATAATGAACGACTGTCAGAAAGATGCTTGCTCTACCTGTTACAGAGTTTAGCTGGAATGTTTACAAGTAAGGCAGGAGAAAGAAAGACAAGCGTAGGGTTAAAATGTTAAAAATGCCCCTTAACTCCATCCCTGGACTCCCACAAAAATGCTTTGTGATGCTAACCAAATTGTTCAAAATCAAATTTTGAGTTTCCCATAGGCGGCTGCTAATTGAGTAGTCACCATTTTTTTCAAATATCCAAACTAAAAACTTAAGGATACAACTTGCAGAACTGCCCCGTTTTACAGCTGTCACCAAAATCACTGAAATCCATGCTTCAAACACATAAGACAGACACACTTTGAAAAAACAGAGCATAAGAATCTAAAAATATGCATTGAAAACCATGCTAGCGAGCCTTTTCACTGTATGTCAGTCATCAACTATAAAACCAGACCTAAAACCTATTCATAAAACAACGATGTTATGGAAGCAACTTCTTTCACGCAGATTAACAGTTCCCCCTCAGCAGTGAGCTCTATGCAAAACATGAGGAAATTAATCTTGCCTTCAGAGTTGGATTGAACCAGTTTTGTAAAATAATTCTGACACCATATTTTGAATAGTGAGAATAAAAAAAACCATCTGATGTTTACTAAATGAGTACTATTATTCTGCTCAGTGAGGAAGGCAGTAGTAGTTCTGGAAGGGAGGAAACCCTATGTAACAGCACATTTAAAATCTGTATCATAATAAATAAACTCAAGAGGGAAAATTACAATTCACAGACATTTGACCTTTTTTTGTCTACAATAAAAGCATAATATTTATGTAGTAGTTTTGGGCAATTTTGTACTAGACTATAGTCTTTTTACTGGATATACCAATTATGATCACATTAGGGGTAACAACAGGTATATGTTTCAATCAGATTCTTGAGTTAAAAAAAAGTTTAATAAAAAAAAAATCCCATAAATGTTCAACATATTTACTCATAAATACTTTTACAAGAAGCTGTACTGTAATAGTTTTGTGGGTTTTTTTTAAGACAAAGCTTTAGTAGATTATGGAATAAGATCACTACATGGCTTACATTAAATAACTTTCTTTGCACTGTTAAGACAGATACAGATAGGAATTCTGGAACATCTACTTACATTCACATTGTATCACATCTAAATTAAACTGTTGAATTGCTCCCATGCTTATTTGTTTTAATTCACTGTCCAGTAGCATCTGCATTAGGGACATTGAAAGATGCTGGCAGGCTGACATGCATGCTGTCTGGGCCACTTTTCCCTAGTAGAAAGAGAAACAGGTTTTAAGAAAGAGACAAATGATACATCACTAAAGAACTGCTTATCTGACTTGATTTTAATATACACTCAAAGTTTTAATGATGCAGGACACAAATGAGAAAGATCACATTTGCTGTTATTTCTTTGACCTGTTAGCTTTGTTTCTATTAAATCAGTTGGGGAACTAAATTAAATATATGTTAAAGAAATTAGTGATATTTCTTCTGGAAGTCCAACAGTTTTCACGAATACAAGGACATTTCCAAAATAATAACAATATAAGTTGCTGAAGCATATGAACAGCTTTGTGGATTTATTTATTTTAATTTTTTTTACTCAAACAGAATGGAAGTAAGAATGTAATGAAAATGAACATGCTGCATATTTTTAATAATACTTAGTAAAAAACTCCCAAACTTTACATAAACCAAAACCATTGCTTTCAGTTGGGGCACTTTTCATAACAGCTTGTGCTAATTATTTGCTCTTTAATTGCTTGAATTCCATCTCAAAGCTTGTTGCTAAATTATTTAAAATATTAATGCTTATCAATCATCTTTTCAGGTCCTCAGTAATTCAGTGCTGTCAGTAATGAACTACTTACAAAACGAAATGTAGCCCTCTGCTGTACAGAATAGAAATAATTTTCCAATCGCAGTCTACTAAATAATGTTTCTCTTTACAATGTATATGTAATAGAGACAAATAATTTTCCAAAAATGAGACTAAAACCCAAAATCATACATTAATATGATAAATTATTTTAAAAATAGTACTCAAAAAATGGAAAGATATAGAAATTCTACCTTAGAATTAAGAAAACCAAGTAAGACCAGATACCTGATCAGATGGCACCATTCTATTCATAGTGCTGCAATCTTTTAGGGCAGAGCGATCGTGGCTTTCAAATGTAATTACATGAAACTCTGTAGTTTAAGGTACTTATCAAACCATGCTTTTCAACTGACGTCTATGTTACAATACATATTGAAACAAAGGTAACTATTAACATGCTTACACAAAAGAAATCATAATTATGTAATACACCTACTGGAGCACACACCACTATCCTTATATTAATCAGTAAAGTGATGACACCTATTCTCCAAAGCAATGGTTCCCCAGCTGTTTTCTGCAAAAATAGGTTGAAATTCACTGTTGACTCACAGAAACACATACAGGCAATGAAAAATGGAAAGGACAGACAGCAGTTCTCTGTCGCAAAAAGGTTGGAAAGTTCTGCTCCAACATCTGAAGAGCCAGATCTTGTCCTTAATAAGACAACTTGCTCATATAATTGAATTTTTAGGTATACATATAACAGAAAGCAAATTTGGCCCTAAATATTTTGTACTTTAAAAATCCATTCTTTCTTAAAATGTAACTAAAATGTAGACAATTCAATGGAAAACATTCACCCTCCCCATGTCACACTGAAACATTAAATACCTTTTGCTAATATCTCTTTAGCATTAGGACACATTGAACTGTCGTGAGTTTTATATCTAAAATGAGATGCCAGTTCCTTAATTGAAAATCTCGGAAAAGCAAATAACATTTTTGATCAAAATTGATGAACTGACAACAAGGAATGTAAGAAACAATGCAAGAACAGCATGCTTAGAGGTCTCCCAAACCCAACGGTAATTACACTGGGAGACATGCAGCTGTATTCCCCAAGCAGAACAATATCAATATGAATGGAAAAAAAGAAAAGAGGAGAAAAAGGGGAAAAGAAGGAAAAAGGAGGTGAGAAGAGGAATCTATGGGCCACAGTTCATTTAATTACAGTGTAGTAAGTTTTAAATACTTAATGGAAATGTCATTTTGATTTAATGGAACAACTAGTGCATCTCGGTTTAATGTACTGCTCCATCAAATCAGCTCCATGTCCTATTTATGCTGCCACTATAATGTAATAAAAGTTCAACCAGATTAATAGGTTGTCAAGAAAATTTTAACATTCAATTTATTTTATATGCAAAAAATGTGTACTCCTCTATTTAAATAAAAGACAGAATTTTATATTTCTAACAAGCATCTGTAGCTAATTGTTACAATCCGGCAAATATCAATAGTACTGGAGCATAAGATAATGGTTATAATACGAAATGACATGGTAAAAGCCACTTGGACTTGAAATAAGTATCAATACATGTACGTTTAATGTTTAGTTTAAAATTAAAAAAAAATGGAAACATCCTAACACTTAAACTATTTCCAACTATGTAACTTGAACTACAGGCTTATTGTTTGCATGACATGTCAACAAATAATACAAGTTTACTATACACAGCTTATACTTACTCAATACAATCACTCAATTTTCTTAAATCTAGAAAAAATGAAGCTACATCTATCAACCAAAATGATGAACTTTAACTGAGAGAAATGTGAACTTTACTGTTATCCTCTTCAAAATTCAGTGCTTCCCAGTTCAAAATGCATTGGATGTGCAATGATAAAAAAGGAATGAAATTCAAGTTCGTGTTTGACAAAAGAGATCTAGTTAAAAATCTCTCTCCAAATTTCCACCATCCACCAATTAATCAATTCCTTGCCATTTTTTCATAATGGATTTTGAAGAGAAAACTTAAGGATTTGTGAACATCACAGTAAGACAATTCTCTTCCAGAATTAAACAAATCTCAGTTAGTTTTAAAACATTCTTAATGTTTATTATTTGTCAGTTTGGAATTTTTAAATTACTAATATTTTTTTAAGGGGGCGGGTGGACGCAGTTACTGTATCTAGCAATTAAACACCTATATTCAATAGCATGCAGAGATTGAGCAGGCTTCTCACATTCGCTGCAGTTGCCTCCCATTTGGAGTCACCACTATTATCTCTGCTGTGCCTATGCTAATTGCTGCTATCTACAAAACCTATTCTTCCACTCAACCAATGTAAAGTTTAAGAAACAAGGACCCTATTCTATAAGCAAAAACACCTGCTAACAGTGTTAAAGGCAACTGTTTTTTCACCCAGCCTCCACATTTTGCTGAAATACAAGTTTGTAAAAAGAGAAAACCCTTAGACAAACTTCTTATATTTCAAAGGAGCTTTTAAAGAGAATCTGCTGACATATTAAATCCTTTTTTATAGGACGCAAAAGCTTTTCTCCTGAGAACAATTGCAGTAAAGAGACATTTGGCTCCTAGGAAACTCCCCAAGGGTCAGCCATATGCATCCTTCCACAGCACCTTCGTGGTACTGTTAAGACCCATGCTAGCTGTCTCAAAAGCAGCTTTCATCATTCACTATGGTGTCAGTCAATATGATTTATGGACTGCATTCAACAAAGTCCAAGCATATAGAATGAGAAATATGACTACAATCTGCTAATTTGTTTTGTATTGAGCCACTTAGGAGTCAAAGACCTGATGTCAGGCTGAGACCAGCAACACAATTAACCGGCCAGTGACAGATTCATCCATCCTCCCTGCCAGGTTGTGCCAATCAAAGACAGCATGAAGCGGCATTTGGAGAAACTGGTAAGAAAACCCATTCTCTAAGTAGCCAGTGGAAGCTGTTGACTGACACTTTTTGAATATAGCTACAGAAAACCACCACCCCTTCACCCTCATTGCAAGCTGTGAAATTAGACTTTTGCTGCCAATCACAGAAACAATAAAATAACACAAACTGCCATCCTCAGCATAAAAGGAAATAACAGAACTTATCTGTTAAATCTCAGAAGTTAAGCTGATTAATTATTTTAATACAATGAAATGACATAATGAAAAACTTTTAGAAAATGCAAAGAAACTAAACTAACAAATTTTATCAGTCATAATAACTAAAGCATTGTATTACTTGACATCAGGACTAAAACCCAACTTTTGAACTATCGATAAAATACAAGCATACTAAAATACGATAATGGAATTTTTAAGAATCAATTATACTTCCAGTCTCTGCCTCAAATCCTACTGAAATAAAAAAATAGCCAATTGCAAGTAATGAGTAACTGTTACTTTTCAATAGTCATCCTTTTCCAAAGAGTTGTCCAATACTAACTTTGCACTGGCAAAGCACATATGCAGAATAAAATGTAAGGTAATTCTAAACTTAGACCAAAACCACTTACATATACACCCTCTATCATTTCAAGTTTACTGATCTGAAATAAAAGGTATGATTTTTCTTTAACTGCTCAAAATAAAAACTAAAAAATGCAGGTCCTTAATAACAAATTTGATCATCCAGTTGGCCTCATGAGATTAGTAGTTGTATAATGAAATTTTAATTTGCTTTTTAATTTGAAGTATCTAATGGCACTATAAACTGCAATATGAACTTGCAATGGGATGAAAAAGAACCTGAAAACACCAATAACCTCAAAAGAATAAATTCTTGTGACTTTAGAAAGCAGAACCACTGAAAACTGCGTGACTCTCAAATTACAACCTCTCAAAAGCAATGTAGCCTCTGTAGTCTGCATCTCTGAAATACTGCTAGTGCTTGGTGATGACATAACCAGCACACTGACACCTATTGAACATTAACAGGAAATATTTCTACACTAAATATTCAATATTCCTAGTTCTCACGACACCTATTAGCTTGACAGTTCAACATGAGACTGAGTATTCACATCATAGAAATTTTCATTGGAATGAACCACCAATGTCATCTAGTCCAGCCTCCTACTTGGAGTAGGACTATTGCCAACACTAGTTCAGGTCCGTTGTCCTTTTTTCTGGCTGAGCCTTCAAAAACAATCAAGGACGGGAATTTAACAGCCTCTCTGGGTAACCTCTTCCAACACCACACTACTCTCTCCATGCAAACTTTTTCCCTAATGTCAAAGCTTCATCTCCCAAGCTTCTACCTGTTACCATAGCCACATCTGAATTTCTCAGTCCTACCAAGAAGAGTTTGGCTCCATCACTTTTGTATTTGTCCTTCAAGAGGGTGTAGGCTGCCACTAGATCTCTCCCCAGCTTTCTCTTTAACTGACTAAATAATCTTCAGATCCACAGAGCTACTACTCAGCCAACTGCTTTCCAGATTGTAGCAATGAATGAGGTTATTCCCACACTGTGTACTCTAAGTGCCTTACACATTTGTTCATTTAAACAGTGAACACAGCACAGTGTACATTTGTTACTGTACACTGCTTAAGTGAACAAGATTCAACCACATTATTAGGGAAAATTAGTAAAAGTAAGTTCAGAAATTCAGTATTCAGAAGCCACTCTTAACAGAATAATATTAATTTCAACACCTACATTGTCATGGAAATTATTATGACAAATCAAAATAAACTCCTTACACAAAAACTGATGACCTGAAATAATCAAGACTTGGAAGAACCCTTAAATGCAACCTATCATCTTCTTAAAAAAATACAAAAACTGAGCACACACATTCCCTTTACCACAGGCATATGTAGCAGAGAAACGATGGAACTGTCACTGATTCTTCATTCTCTTCAATCGGTCTACCCTTATTCTGTATGCATGCTCATAGCTCGATTTTGATACCTGACTTCTCTTCCCAAAAGGTCTCATAGTCTCCCCTAAATTACCTCATTTGGAATGCAAGGCACACCTCACCAACCTTCTGCAAGGTTTTTAGGGATCCTGCTGTTCCAGTGTATGAAATCTCAATGTTAGTCATTAACCTGATCCCTGCATGCAACCACACAAGGTATGCAGCAAGTCATCAGCAAAACAGAGGCGTATTTTTTTAAATTATTAAAAATCGAAGCAATAAGCCTGCAGGCAGTTCATAGTTTTTCAGTTCACATGCTTTTTCTTCATCTTGCATCTACTTACCGACATAGCTGCATGGTCATTGTTGTTATTCTGAGAAGGAAACCAGTAAGGCAATCAAAACAAAAAAATTAAGATGTACTGTCAACATCAAAAAAAAAAAAAGAATAAAAAATTGGTAGCAATAAAAGGTAAGGAAAAGCCTCCAAAAAGAACAATTCAGCTACGTAATTCCTTAAATTATTTTTTTAAACATGAGAATTTATATAGTATTTTGTTGAGGTATAACAAGGAGATTATAGTTTAAATAATACTAATTCATAAATAAAATGCTTTTCTGTAATAAGGAACTGTATGCCAAAATATAAAAGTAGCAAATTTCAAATAACTAAGTGTCTATTGATATGCCTTTCCAGAAAGTTTTCATTATAAGAAATAATATATTCCAAAATACTTAGGTTAAAAAATAAATGCCATGTTTACCATCTTGGCTTACAGACACTACCTGTATGTCATTAATATACTTTGTTTAAGCAAGACTTAGAACAGCTCAGGACAGTAAGAATCCAAATGTAACAGAAACCATTAATAAATTTTAAGATAAATCTAATGGTAGTATAACCGCATGGTGGAATAAAGCCATTTTCTTTTCCAAAACTGCTTCTTAAGTACAGTAAACAAACACAGAGGAGAAAACCAATATGTAAAACTGAAGAGGAAAAAAAAAGCTTCAGAGACACAAGACATTTCCAGTGATTCCATAGAGGTATCAGACCCGAACTAAGTTGTGCCACGAAGTGTGCAGGTTCAGTAAAATTGAGATCATAGCCTACTCGATTTATATCTCTTAATGTTCTAATAAAAATAATACAAATTGCATAAAACAGATATGTAACATAAGATGTATTTTTTTAAAGTATACAGTGGTACAGAAATAATTCAGGATAGGCCCATGCGGAAGCACAGAAGGAGACACATCCCTGTGCATTTACACAGCATACAGCTACAATAAAACAAGACTCTAATGACAGGAACTCAATGACACAACCTCAACAACTGCAACAAAACGATGTTAAAGAACATATCATAACAATTCTACAGGAAGTTCAGAGTTTGAAACAATATCAAAGAGAAAGGCAGTGACCCTTGAACGAAACCAGAGAGATCTAGCGTGGCCTACTAGTGCCCCTAGCCCTAGCACAATGCCCTCTAATGCGATCGAACATCTAAGGTAGGGACAGAAGAGATTCCTCTACTTGTCCCGCTCTTTTCCTTACTAGAATTATGGCCACTGGCTAGGACTTATATTCTTTGATTTCTAATTACAGGAAAGGTTCTGAGAAACTACTTTGAGCAGTGGAATGTTTCTGCCAGCCATACAAAAATTATAGAAATTACACTGTGACATTAATGGAACATTTTCATTCATTTATGAAAATGAATACTAAAAAACTACACCAAATCTTAACTGTGGCAAATGAGAATCTAGCATTAGCATCTAGTTTAGCACTCCAAAGCACTTACTATTTTAATGAGTTATGAAACCTAATTCTGGGTTTATTTTGAAAATGCTTTTACTATAAATTTTATTTTAATGAAAGTAACTTACTACTACAAATCTAACCAGAATCACCATAATGAAACTGTATACACATTTCCATATAACCTTCACAGCTCATGCACAATAATATTCACAGGACTGTATGTTTCTACAATTGTCCAAGCCAGAATAGGGAGCAATACACAGGATTAAGTAAAAAAATTACAAGAACCCTCTTGCCACAGACTAGTCATCCATACAGTTGCACATCCTGCCTGTTACCTCACCAGAGTCTGAAATTACCTAGTAACCTCTTCATAGGAACTAGCTTTCTCCAAAGGTTGTCTTGTGCCCCCAGGCACATATTTCTATTCCTTTCACACTTTTCAAGTCCTAGTGCCACAGCTGCTTCTTTCCATCCCTTTTAACACATTCCTTACTTCTACCCGTGGCTCACTTCCAAACAGCTATATTGCAACATACAACCATGACAAACTTCTGTACATCCTTCTCTAGAAGTTGCACGTCCCTTAATTGCTATATGCATATGACCACTGAGGAACAGTGCCATTTGTTCACACTGCTCTGTATGTTAAGTTACAATTAATCTAACTATCTAACAAACTTGCTATTCTTTATCAAAAATCACTCAGATTTGGAACAGAAGCACATGCCTCACATGGCACATTCACATCAATATTACGTGATATGCTATGTCTTTGAGTCATTAAAAAAAGGAGACTGAAGAATCATAGCCTCTTCACGTGTGATTTGGAAGACCAGATAATCCCACTATGCCAGCAACTTCAGCACCTTGCTGTGCACATAAAGAAATTATCTTTTACTTCCAGTATAGAACCTTGAAACCTTCTATGCACAGATTACTTTTTCTTTATAGGCACTGCATGTGGGTAAAGCACTCGGACATCAGTGTGACAGCAGCAACCAAGGACAAGCTGATGAGAAGCAGATGTAGTTTGAAAGACTTCTCAAAGTTACTCCAGACCTATAAAGCTATAAATTAGTATGATGATAAAACAAACTAGAAATAGTATTTTTTTGACCTAAAGCAAGGGGATATCAGACAACAGAATGTAACAATTAGTACATAAAACAGGTTAACAGTACCCTTTTACCTGGGACAAAATAACACTGGATATATTTGAATATGAACAAGGATTTATTTCAATGAAGCCCAGCTAACGACAATCAAATGACTTTTTATGACAAAAACTATTTGGCTAGAAACAACCTTGGAGAATCCAAAACCTCCATAATCTTATGCACAAATGCAGGATTTGCATCAATTCTGCATTGTATGAACTAATGCATGTGTACATAGAACCATCTGATGCTCTAGAAAACTGCATGAGTTCTTAAACTATTTGTAAATTAGCTGTTGTTAACAATATTGGTAAAGTACTTGAACGTATTTTCTAAGTATTACCATAGGTAAGCACCATCAGCATACTGAAACATATCTGAAAATATATCTGTACTGAAAAAAAATAAAAAATACATCTGCCAGCATGTGCAGAATTCAAAATTCATACCCATCTTCAAAATATTAGTATTTTAAAATAAAATAAAGCTCCAGTAGTTTGCAATTAAACTTAATTTTGAACACTTACAGGTAAATGAGTAAAAACTTGAAATGTGCTTCTTAAAAAGTTAATAAGGTCCATTAAGTATCCACTGGCTCTTCCATTGGATTCAGACATTGTCCAATCATAATCAGCAATCTGAACAAATTCATCTATTTTTTGGTTAAGTTTTGTGTATATTTCTCCCTCTGCAGCATGCCTTGCATCCTGAAAAAAAATCATGTGATACTGTCAGAATTCTAAAATATTATCAGAATGCAAAAAAAAAATTATATTCATCAACAAAATGGAAGTTTTTTGTTTTACTTAGATTTTTAAAAACTTTATTTAAATCAATATTTTAACTTCTGTCTTACAATAAGTCTGAGGCTCTGGTTTTTAAAATAGTCCCATATTGTTTAGTATAAGAGTATTTATAAGAGAACATGCCTACAGAATAACCTAGGTTCTCAGAGACAAATGAAATTAATTTGAATTTGGAAACAAAGCAATGCTTTGCTCTCTTCACAACAATCACCTTTAATGCGGCCTTACAAATTCATCAACCCTGATACAAAGTTTATTTGCCCTCCTTTGCAAAGAAAATAATAAAAGAACCTAATTATTTTATCTGTTATGGCTAGAGGTCCTGCAATTGTATGATTTTTATGTAATTAATGTCTTAAGGCTGCAAATCTGAAGAATGCTCATCATTTTTCATCTTCCTTTAAATATCCTCATCATCACAGACCATGACTCAGAGCACTCCCCTACTTCCTCCCACCCCTACTTTTTGTACTGCCACCACACAGATTCTACTTTTTGGAACAGTAAAGAGGTAAAGTCTAGCATTTACTGTGAAGTGAGTTTATGATGCTGTCTATCTGCCTTTAGGGGATGTCCTCGTACTTGGAATGGGATCTATGTACAGATGCTTGATAAAGTGTTATCTTGCTGGAAAGGCATGCTATTGCCAGCCTGCAGTTTAAAGATACTCAATAAATTCTATGTTCTACTTTGGGCTCAACATGAAACTTTCTTCACTGATCTTGAGAAATAACTCCAGTAAGACACCTGACTTAAAATGAACTGGTCAGTTGCTGAAGGTTTTTAGAGAGTAACAATAGGCTGGATATATTGGAGCAACATTAAAGTGGATGAAATTCCCACTGCTAGTTTCCTCTGGAAGAAAGTGGTCCAAAAACATGGTGCTTCAGAAGGGTGTAAATAAGAAAGGCAAAAAGAAAAAAGAAAAAAACCCAAAATTATCTGAGCTTAAAGGTGGCATCACACTGAGTGTGTCAAATTCAGTCAGGCCCCAGGCCGTGAAGCACTTCAGGAAGAAGCAAGAAAGCATGTGTCCCTGCCCTGTATAAATACCAAAGTACCATTCCCGAAAAATAGCATTTTTACTATCAAACCAATCTGTAAAAGCCTCCACTGAATGAACAGCTCTCCCAATCCAACAGACAAGAATTTGGCAACTTGTTACCATGTCAAATATGGGAATATGCTGCCATCCACAATTTTGTAGGTGGCTAGGACTATAAAAACTTCAATTAAAGTAAAGTCTATACTTACAGTTTCTAATTAACAATGAGACCTCAGTTTCAACAATTTGTAATGACAGGACTTGCAAGTATATCTGCTTAGGTTAGTGCAATTGCTTGGATAGTTTTTTTTGTTTGTCTGGGTTTGGGATTTTTTTTGTTTAAAAACTAAGTCACTAATGGAGTGGTTGTATCGTCTTTACGAGTTAAGATGATCTACTGGCAATGGCAAGACTAATCCTTCAGTTTTTGTTTTGGAAGCCCGTTTTTGGCTACCTTTTATTGTGCTTTGGTTATTGGTTTATAACCAGAGCAGCACACTGCCAGTACTTTAAGCAAGGAGTGTTGCTCTATTTCCCGAGAAAACTGTGATGAGCAGTTGGATTTCAATTGGAGAAATTACTTCTGAGAAGCAGCACTGTGAATCCCATGCACAAGTCAAGAAAGAGTGAGTTAGCAGCATTCAGATTAGGCAAATGAATTAACTCCATCTCTTCTCTTAATGTGGTGACAGAACCTTTTGAAAGCTCACCAGATTTTCCCCCATTATAAAGCAAAAAGGGCAAATGATGTGGTTTTGTTAAATGGCTTTTCTCTCAGAGGATCCCTGCACAGGATTTGATGCTGCATATCTGGCTCTCCAAGAGACATTACACAGCTTAATGCTGAGACCCTGGGCTCAAAAACTTCTATCAACTAGATCTACAAATACATCTATTTTTGCTTACTGAGACTGCTGATTTAAACAAAGGAAAACAATGGTCATTCAAAGCTGGAAAATGTGACTACAAATATTGAAAGTGACACAATTTTTTAATATGATAAAATGAAACAAGTTTTGGCAATTTTTTTTTATTTCCACCCATGTGAAACAATGCTTGGAGAGTTTGAAAGACAATGAAATCTTATATACAAAAATAAAATGAGAAAAACAGCCCTATAAAATACTAGCCATGAAACAGGTCTGAAGGCTTCTATTAAATATAGTTCAGATTTACTTGTAAGATCATGTCATGGAATGTAACTGTGATCATTGCTGCTAACAAAAGGAGATTTTTTGACCACTCAGAAAGAATGGGGGTGACATGAGTTGCCACCAGGAGATTAATCTAATAACAGCAGAACATAGCAAACTCCGTGAGGGCTCAGTTGGGGAACTGCAAGCACTTTTTCATTAAAATACAGAGGAAAAAAAAAAGAGGGATTAACGAGAAAAGAATTTTCTGCTTTAAGTGGAAAGCTCTAAGTGGAAAACGTTGTGCTAACAAGTTCTCCAGGAAAAATAATTAAAAAAAATCTTAAGTGTTTGTCAGTGTTCATTCTGTATTTTTCCAAAGTACAGAGACATTAAGCTCACTAAACACAGATACAATATTTTGTGATTCCCTCCGATAGAACTTAGATAGTTTATAGGACAGTTAAACACAACTTACAGCATAAGCAATCAGCACAAAAATAATGCAAACTTTCAACTGCATTTATTAAGTTAAATACAAGGATAAAGAACATCTTGCCTCTTAATGATATCAAAGACTATGGCTTCATTAAGTGTTTTGTTTGAATGTTAAAAAGATTATGGATTGACCTTACGAGAAAATATCTATAGTTATGCAATTTCAAAGACACACATGCACTGTTGGTACATAACAAGCAAACTAGGCAGCCTACATCTTAAGGACAGGGCAAAATTAGTAAAACTACTGGTAGAGCACTGGTTACTGGTAGAGTAACTACATATGCTAGGCAAGAACCCTTCTGTCTTGCCTTATTCATTAAATCCTTAGCAAAACAAATGACAGTTAATGGGAAAATTGTTGGCAATCAACTGGAAATATGAAGTGTCTTGCAATGATGATGTCTTATTCCACCTCACCCACCTTTTAACATCTTTGCCAGAGGGGATATTATAATAGGATAGGCTACATATTGCATCAAGAGAAAAAATGAAGTACAAAAACCAGAACTACTCTCAATAGGATTAGTCCTCTTTATCCCATAAATACAAGAAATCATCTTCCTTTGTTTCAGTGTACACAGAAAAACCCCAAATACCTAGTTCAAGTTGCAGCTGCTTTGGAATCCCTGATGACATTTTGTTTTGTTTTGTTTCTAGTTTTAAAATCTCTGTATAGAAGCCCCAAGTGACTAAGAAGGAAATGCCCCATAGCTGAATCAACGGCACAAGGTAACATATACAAGATTATTTGTCTGTGAGAATGTTTTCTTCAGAAAGTGTATTGGGTTTGCGTGGCAAGGTTTTGACAGCAGGGCAGGTGACAGGGCTGACTTCTGTGAGAAGCTGCTAGAAGCGTCACCTGTGTCTGACAGAGCCAATGCCAGCTGGCTCCAAGACAGACCTGCCGCTGGCCAAGGCCAAGTACCTCAGTACCGGTAACAAAAAACAGCGTTTACCTGGTTTACAATTGAATTCTTAACAGTTCAGAATTGTTTTAGAGACAAAAATGAGAAGCATGCAGCTTTGCCCTCACCCCCTTCTGTTTTAAAATGCTTCATTTATGGTTATTTTAATGTAACTTTTCAGACATAGTCATAAAATGGATGACATTTACCATACCTTAAACGTAGAAAGTCCATAAAGTCTTGCAGTGTGAACAGTCACTTGTGAAATATTTGTAATGTTAGATATAAAATCCTCAAGGTATTTACAGGCTTGTTCCAAGTGTGTTGTGTTTATGATGATTTGAACAAGCTACAAAAGACAAAAAATTATTGTAAAAATCCTTTCTGTATCAGCCATTGTCATTTGATTTTGTAAATGGCTACTTCTTTCAGCAAAAATACCACTATAAATTAATTACAATATCCCAGGTTATCACCTACTACCCGTTATTTTTCAAGTTTGTTTTCAAATATCACTAAGGAGTAATACTACAATCTCCATACAAAAGATGCCTTTTTAAAAATGAAGACTGCAGACACCTACTCAGTGAAATAAAACAAACTGGCATCAATTTAAAAAGGGAAAATAAAGAAAAAAATATATTGACAAAAGCAAATCACTAATTTGCACCATAAAAATACTTTCTTAAAAATTACTGCTATAAAAAAATATTTCACAATATTGTCTGCAGAATAATGCATTCTGAAGTTGTAAATTTAAATAAAGGTTGTCAACTCCTTCACCGCCATCAATGGTAACAATCTGCTTGTATATGATATAAATGTTTCTATAAGCAGGACCTGCATTCACATTCAGTTCACAAGTTAGACAATTTACATAATGTAAATTACGTAAATCAGCAATCAACAACTGAAATATCAGTATATTATATCTTAATTCTCACTGTATACTGTCTGGTTTAGTGAACACTAATGTAATTCTTGGTAAAATACATTTTCTCTTTTCAACATTTTTCTCATAAAATGTATTGACTTGATAATGAAACAACTCAAAAAATACCAGTGAATTTATTTTCATATCCTTGAAAATATTTCTTTCTATTTCAAGAACCTAGAAAACTATGACTCAGAAAAATTGTATAACTTGTCTTACTAACATAATGTTATATATGTTATATACAATTTATAGAGCTCTTTCCTCATCTTCTTCTTGATTTCATTCATACAAGAACTTCTTGCAGTTTAAAAACAACATTCAATATGACATAACACTGCTCTAAGAGCAACAGTCTAAGTCCTTCTCAGCATGTTTCAGTAGGTACCTGCTGTCTCCTGACATTGCATGTACCTGCAGTGAATATTCAGAGTAATTCACTGTCTCACCCTGTCTTATTCTGTCCAATAAACAAATTAAACCAAGAGTCCTGATGAAAAAACAACATGCACAAACCTACTAAAATATTTTAATTGCAATTACTACATTAAAAGTTTCATGTGTTAGAGTAAACTTTAGAATTTACATTTCTTGATCTCGTAGGTTTACTCTCAAACTTGACACAGTTCACGTGACAGAGATTGTCTTTCCTCCCCCTTTTTTATAGGAAGTAACAGAAACTCAACAATATGTTACTAATTGCTAGACAAGAGCACGAACCATGCTCTGTATGCAACCAAAGTAACAGTCTTTGGCGTATTTCTTGCATGTCTCAGTTTGTCATCTAAGAGACAGAACTCTTTCATTTTCATCTCTCTCAAAAGGCATCCACGTGCAGTGATACTTCTAACGAGACCCAACACTGTATTGTTATTATTTATTTAACAGATATTGATGCTTATTTTAAACTTAATCTTTCATCTCTTTCAATTTTCAATTTTAAAGCAAACATTACTTGTTTTTCTTACATAAATCTTAATACTAGGGTATATCTCCATCTACAATAATAGTTTTAGCACTAATTTTCTTAAAAAACAGTTTTGAGTATACGTTTTAAAACTTACCTCAGTTAAACCTATATGAGGTTTTTTAATTAGGTTCTGTAAACAACTACTTAGAGTTCTCGTAAGCAGCAAATTTGTAGATTTTCTGAGCATATCATCAATTTCTGTTGAGCTGAAAAAAATGTTAATTTTTATAACTATGCTGTACATGACAATACTTCAACAGTAATAATTTATTTTTTTTTTCCTTGCAAAGGGAGCTTTTTATGTTAAGAATTCCATATGTGCACTTAATTTCTGGTTGCTCCAAGTCTTCCACGTTCTAACACACAGAACACTGCTTTCATTTACCAAAGTATCTATTAACTGCATTTCAACACTGAAGCAAAACTTTTTTTTTTTTTTTTTTTTAAATTTTGGACATGTTTATTGACACAGCAGTTCAGAGAGTAATTTGTGGGTTTTAATGAGTTCTGAGGAGGTCAACATGTGCTCATTAGTACGTGTAAATTATAAACAGTATCAATTAAGAATGTGTGAAAGAGAGTTATTTACATCTTTAACAGTGCAGAAGTGGATGACCAGCCACAAATACCTTCCAGATTTCAGATCAATAAATGTTATTTTAAGTAATTAAAACTAAGCTTTTGAAGGTGACAAGGAAGGAAATATAAGAAGTGTGATGTCTTCCATCAGAAAAAGGTGGGATGGAAGAGGGAATGAGCATGCAGACAGCACATTTTGTTGCAGGAGAAATCATTGCTAAGGAAACACCAAGAAGGGGAAGACTGTTCAAAGTAATCAGAGATGCTACACAATTATTTCTGAAATGGTCAGTACCAAAGTATATTTTTCAAATCTTACACGCTTTGGTAAATAAATAAAATCTCTAGATTATTCAAACCTGTCAATACTATTTTAAAAAAATCTAGCAGTGTTTTAGACTCCTTACCGTGCCAAGCTACCTCCACCCATACAGACATACACGTATGGTATACAACATATATACATATGAAAATACGCTACAGCATTGTGAATTAAATAGAAAGACATATATGTGTAAATTTATATGTAAATTATGAACAAGCACAGCTAGCAAGTATACAAGAATATATTTTTATTTTAATATATAGTTTTAGGTCACCTGGATGTTATAGGTTACCTTCCTGATACTTTAAACTTACCTGCGGTGAAGTGACTCTGAAAACTTAAGGCTTGCATAAATAAATTCCTTAACCTGGATATAAATCTGAGGCACTGACTGAGACATTGGAAGCTTCTTTGGAAAGGATTGCTGTGAAAATAAAAGATAATACTATCTTACCCTTGAAAAAGATTCTAAGGAGAGCTTGTTACTAAATGCAACAATCAGAAAGCCAATTAACACTATCAATATTTTAATCCATTTCAAGCTTTTCTGTTTTTATCAAATACAAACAGTGGTATGCATTGGGCTGACTTCTACATCTGTTTAAATCGCTTACAAGCAAAACAGAACTTTGCTAATTATTTAAACTGCAAAAAAGTTTGAAGACTTTATGTAATTTAAGATCCATCTGTAGAAAGCAATTTACAAACATACATTCAAAAACAGGTCTCAAACCACTTTTAATTTGAATGCAGATGGCAGATGTAAGTGGGATGAGACGTCAAAAATGCAAACTTTTTTTGCCAAAGAAAGCATTGCAAGAAAAAAAAGGGTTGAGAGATGTTCAAATATGGGATTTCACATACAGGATTTTCAAAGCATCTTGAGTACGTTTAGGCATGTATATTTACTATCATATATTTACTTTTGATGGCTCACAAAATCAAAGCTGCTTGAATTAATTTCAACAATTTGGATTAACATGTGGGAAATAGTATGGTCTGTAAGAAAAAAATCATCCTTCTTACTTCAATTTTAAAGCTGATATTGTATTTGGGAGGACAAAAAGAAGTACATTTGATTAAATCTACACATCTGAGATATTTCTGCATTGAATACATAATTTTTAAAATCTGCAAAACAATTAATTCTGCTTCTAATTCTCATGCATTCTATTACTAATGCATGAGAAAAATAATTAACAACTGGTATCACTCCTGGAAAATTCAATTTCTCTAAAAAAATAAAAAAGCATTAATCAACAGCAGCTCGACATTTGTGTATTAAAAAAAAAAGATAAAAGAGATTACCTTGATGTTCTCCTAATCATACCTCTTTATTTAAGATTAGGTGGTGTGACAATTATGTGGTGTAAGTACTTTCATGTCATTCAACAGAGATAGAAAGTATTTTTTGAAGAATAAAATTTACTTCAAATATGTGTTCATCTGATTTAGGCAACTAATTTTTACAGATAAAACAAGTGCTATTACATACAATTATTTTAGATCATTAAAATATTCTGTCATCAGGGCTTGAGTTTCAACCTTCATATATTCAAAAATCTGAGGGAAGCAATTCTTCATCCTCTACAGTGTCTGGCAAACACGTCAGGATACAAAACTTTCTGTCTGCTTACTAGATGTCGTGGGTTAAAGTTAACTTAAA